CATGTTTTATCAGATGACCATTCACTTTATTCTGAGAAATGAATGAGCCAAGGCAAGTGATAAAGGAGACACTTAAAAGGGCGGCTGGTATAGGTTCGGCGTAGAATTCGTCAATTTAGCCATTGCATCAATGTCACATGTCTCTTATGCACGCACAATGACGGAATTTCTGTCACGCACTATCAAAGTTAGCTTCTCAGGCGAGATCGCCACTGCCCTTTTTATGTCATGTTTCTTTATACTTTTAGAATTATCCTCAAGCTATGACTAATGCCATTGGGTAGATGAGAGGTGCCAAGTGAATGCGTAATTGTTGCCCTGACTTAGTAATTCGTTTTGGTGGAGAATTCTTAAAAGTTGTTTTGCTTACTCGAAAATACTTCATTGTGGCAATTATTTGACTTTATGTTTCTCTTGGATGTTGGGCCTGGTCGGGCCACAGTCAAGCCTGACAGAGGGTCCCGCAACCAGTGTTGTATCCTTTGCTCGCAGTGGACCAGGAAACCTGTATGCGCTGGTTGCGGGTTGGATACTGCGTCAACGGCAGTGCGGCCGCTTTCTGTAGAACTCAGCAAGCAGGCAGCATCACTGTCCAGACTGTGCTACCAGGACATATTTAGCACCAGCTCCCTAAATGAGTTATGACAAACTCATAACGTTTGAGCCTTAATTTGTTCCCAAGCTGCGTATCTCTGTATTGCTCTCCAAGAGTGGTCGCATGAGTCCGTCTATGAGACTTCATTCGATCACTGCTGAGCTCACTTCCATTTTCGATGAAAGCGTATGATGAAAGGGTTCACAGGTGGATCCCACTGGAGAACGGTGGCGGATTCCTCTTGGTTGCGCCACAATAAGCTTCACTGGGGGATTCTGGCTGACGCTGTGTTCGAGGCGGTTCCCTTCGATTCCGGTAAAAACGTGCTAAGCTTTTGTCCATCGTTTGAAAGAAATAATCAGAGTTGGCTATCATTCTTACAACCATATTCAGGCTGACGAGTCTCACTATCCCTCATTCCTCGTAGACACTGCCAGCCAGAATGTTCCAGTAAGGCTAAGAGGAGTCCATCTCCAGGTGGGGTCGATCTTCGAATCATTTCATCACACCCATTCGAAATGGAACTGAGCTCAACATTTACAAACCTCGGAACCCAACTTATTTTGGAGCATTCATTCAACCAGTCGATGGATGC